GTTTAGATAAGGCTATGTAAACACGGAGAAAGTGCTCTATCGCTTAATTATAAGAGAACTAAGAGAGAACTAGGAGAACTTGGGGGTATTATTACATCCCGAAAAGAGTTTCCAATAAAACAGCTCAAGCGTTGTCATGCGTAGCTTGTTGCCACGATACATCATGCCAGCATTATGTGGGCGTAGTGAATTGTGGGATATATACGAGGTCCTGGGATCAAGTGTATTTTCGCGCTCTTCGAAAAAAGAGAGACGCTATTAATAGGTTTTACTTTTCACGGCAACAAATAATAAAAAAATTCTATTTTATTAACATGGATCGGCCCATATTGTCGTTTTAGGTTTCTAAGACGGGACCCTCCGAAATTTAATAGATGCTAAATTTAAAAGTGACGGGGATTCTTTATCGGACTATTTAAATTCCCAAAACTACCACCGTATAAATCTGCCCGCATAAATAATTTCATTCTTTACGATAAAAAGTAAACCAAGAACCTGATAAATAAGCGAAACGGGCGAACCGTTAGCTAGGAAACAAACAACATGCTGGGGGAGGGGATAACCTGTGCCAATGGCTTATTCCACCCGGAGGGGGGCGGGGCAATTCTCTAATTAACTTCACACTATGGAAATCGTAGTCAAAGGCCGGTCTCAAGGAATCCAATGGCTTTCGAAGCATTTCGGATTCTTAGGATTGGAACGAACTTCTCTGCTGTTTTAGAACCCGTTTTACGCAAAATGACTTCGAAATCCTCGTCTGTTCGTTTTACCGGTGACTCCGGGCAAAACGTTTTCATTGAGATTTGGCTGCTTTTCAATTAATGGTAATTGATGAGCCAAAAAAATGAATGAATGAATGACCTAATGTCTTTTACTAGTCACAAGTGTTACACTGGCGACTTTGAACTGCTTCCAGCTGATAGATACCAAAACACCCGTCCGCAAGAAAAAACCGGATCGACAACCAATCACAATTCATCTTTCAAATGCACTGCCACCCAGAGGACCTACAGTAGGTTTTAAAACGGGTGACATCTACCTGCAAATTCCACCAATCAAACGCAGCTTGATAAACAACATGACTGGAGATTTAAAATAGATGCTCTCCATTCATCATCGCTATTTTCATTTAAGAAATGTTCCTACTTTTTCCGAGTCTTTTGTTTTCTCCGCAAGCGTGCCTTAAATTATCTGTCTTTAGCGTCTTAGTACAGTTTCTTTTTTTTTTTTAGATCAGTTTAGCAGTTTCTTGATTTTTTTTGAGAATTAGCATAGGTGCCAAAGCAACTTGTCGATGAAAATATATCATTGCAATCCTGTACTAATCGTCTGTCTCAGCTTCACTCTAAGACGACGAAATTTAATCAGTTACAGTTTCAAGTGTCCTTACCTCTCAACCTTCAGCTTTAACAAATCACTTGAACGAGCCGCATATCCAAGGTTTAGCTTCAGCTAAGGACTTGAAGTTCCTCGATAAATAAATTTCACAGGTACGACTGGAAGAGAAATCTTTTGAGACACCACTGGTACAACCATTCCCAAGTCCTTCTCGGTCAGGGTAGCCCAAATGAAAAAGCCTTCTTGAGCCCGCAGTTTTTTTCCAAGTGTTGTTAAGCAACACGAAGTAATTGGGGCCGTAAAGAATATGCCAAGAAAGGATTTCAAAACATCGTAAAATTCTCAAATACATAAAGCCCAGTTCTCCACAGGGACATGAACTTGCTAGTTGGTTTGTTTCTTTTTCTAAGGTCCTTTCTAAATTGAGGCGGGGGGTGGGGGTAGGCGTGGGGAGTTATCCAAAGCCGGCAATCAAGCTTTCCAAAAGTAGCTGATCGCAGAAAAAAAATTATAATACATATAAGAACACCGCGAGATTAGGTTCTCGAATGCCCCGTCCACACTTTGTCGGAGGAATTTGAAAACAGAGGTTTCACTCTGAAAACGCACCAAATGTTTTCCGTCCACACTACGCCGGAGAAATTTGCTCGCATGATTAAGGTGACGTCATCGTTTTCGAAAAGCTGTATTTCCAAAATGTTTTCCGTCCACACGAAAACGCCAAGCCGACATTTTCAAATTCTCCCGGTTTGAAGAGCGTTTTTGAGAGGCTCCGTTTTCGTGACGGATTAGAGTGGAAGGTAGGCTTTTCTGTAGAAATAAAGCTGCATTTTCAAATTTCTCCGGCGTAGTATGGGCGGTCCTCAGTCATCAAATGGACATCGCGCACACCACAATAAGTCAAAATATCAATCCAAAAACTTATTTTCCGATACCTTTCACTCACAGGAGGCAGGGCGGAGATTATGTTACTCGTAAATTTTGGTAAAAGACTTTCGCCAGCTGACAAACAATGGAAGGAAGAGGCTAGTAAAATTCGTGAACTACACCTCCTGGTCTATTCCATCGCCTCTTAAACACTGGCGTCCTCGCCTTCACGTGGTACGCGAAAGGCCTGGATAGACGCGTGAAACCATAGGCGTCTGAAGGTTCCAAACGAATAGGGTCGGTATACGTTTCATCTATTAATTTTTCCAGTTTCTGGCACCGCTCGTGAGTATATGCGGAGAACATTGCACGAAGCCCTAAAGGTGTGGTGTCTCGAGTTTAAACATTTTTTTCCTAAATGGACCAGCTTATTTACATAACAAGACAAAACTCACTTTTGAAACAATATTATTTACAACTATTTACACATCCTTAGTAATTTGTACAATTTTTTTTATCCGTCTTATGTTCTCATTAAATTAAACGACTTTTCTTATGATCGTTCAGACTTGATAGCTACTTAAATAAATTCAATTCATTGGGAAGACATCTTCAACGTTCCAGAAAAGGATCAAAAAATTTCCAAACAATTTTGACAAGCTGCTTGGTTTCAAAACTCCTGCTTCCTAATATACCGTAGCCTTGATTTCACGAGCAAGCGTCTTTGGTAACCAGGCTTCAATCCATGAAGCCTACACGTGTTACTGACGGCGTATCTAGGAAAACAAGTCTGTTTTTCATAAACAACGCTAATCTTCTTCACTTGTAAACATCCTTGTCTGTTTTCAGCTTATCATTTCTTTTGTTATTTTTTTTTTCTACAGAGAACTATTATTTTTATGTTTCCTTCAATTTGAAAGTAATTTTGTACATCAAAAAATGACTTCCAATATCGTGACATGCAATAGTTGATTTAAATCTCTCAAGCTATTTATTTGGCAAAACACTGAAAGCAAAGGGTTTTATTAAACAAGACAAAACCAAACCAAACTAAACCAACACATTTTAGCAGAGCTTTCATATTGTAACTAAAATGTTCAACATGCCACTCAACAGCATTTGATGTTTTACATCCAAAATGAGAAGTTGCATTTCTGAAATGTTTTTTTTTCCTCTGTATCAATTTCAAACAAGGTAAAAACCTGCCATTCT